CGAGAAAAGAAAAGGGGGAAATTACACTTTAAAGGGCCCAGTGAGTAACAAGGGCTAAGGCTAAAACTTAAAGCCTAGTTTAATAACAAGAAATAAGGCTACACCAAAACCCAGTGAGTAACAAGACTAAGGACAATTAAAGCCTAGAAAAAGACTAAGGGGACACTTAAAGGGCCCGTGAAAAAAAACCCAAGGTAAACTTTAAACCCCAGTGAGTAACAAGACTAAGGCTACACTTAAAAAAAAAACTAGTGGAAAAACAATCTAAGGTTTCCCTTTTTAAAACCTATGAGAACAAGACTAAAAGGGTACACTTTAAAACCTTTTTTAATCAAGATTTAAAGGTACACTTAAAGCCAAATTTAATAACAAGACTAAGGCTTAAAAACTTAAAGCCTTTTTTTAGTAACAAGGGCTAAGGGAAAACTTAAAGCCCAGCCCAGTAAAAGACTAAGGTACACTTTTAAAACCTAAATGGGGTAACAAAACTAAGGCTAAACCTAAAAAACCCAGTGAGTAACCCCAAAACTAAAGGGGCACTTAAAAACCCCATGAATTTAAAAAGACTAAGGCTACACTTAAAGGCCCAAATGAAAAACAAGGGCTAAGGGCTACACTTAAAAACCTAGTGAGTAACAAGAAAGGCCCCACTTAAAGCCTAGCGAGTACAAAACTAAAGGGTAAACTTAAAGCCCCAGTGAGTAACAAGGGCTAAGGTTTCACCTAAAAACCCTAGTTTATAACAAACTAAGGCTTTCACTTAAAACCTAGTTAAAACAAAAACCCAAGGCTACACTTAAAACCTAGTGAGTAAAAAAGACTAAGGCTACCCCTTTAAAACCTTTGGAATAACAAGACTAAGGGGTACACTTAAAAACCCAGTGAGTAACAAACAAAAGGGGGCACTTAAAGCCCAGTTTAATTTAAAAAAACCCAAGGCTAAAACTTTTAAAACCCAGTGAGCAACAAGACTAAGGCTACACTTAAAGCCCCAGTGAAAAACAAGACTAAGGAAAACTTAAAGCCTAGTGATAACAAGGGCCAAAGGGGTAAAACTTAAAGCCTAGTAATAACAAGGGGCTAGGCTACACTTAATTAGTGAGTTAACCCAAAACTAAAAGGTTTCAAATTTTAAAACCTTTTGAGTTAAAAAAGGGCTAAGGGGTACACTTAAAGCCTAGTGGGAAAAACAAGATTTGGGTACACTTAAAACCCATGGTAACAAAACTAAGGCTACCTTAAAGCCCAGTGAATAACCCAAGAAAAAGGCACACTTAAAGTCCTAGTGAGTAACAAAAATAAGGCTACACTTAAAGCCTAGTGAGTAAACAAGATAAAGGGGTTTCACTTTTTAAACCTATGAATAAAAAAAAACTAAGGCTTTCACTTAAAGCCTAGTGAGTAAAAAGAAAAAGGCTAAAAACTTAAACTAGGGAATAACCCAAAATAAGGTACACTTAAAGCTAATTTGGGAAAAAGACTAAGGCTACCTTAAAACCTAGTGAAATAACCAAAAACTAAGGCTACCTTAAAACCTAGTGAATAACAAACAAGGCCCACACTTAACCTAGTGAATAACAAGAAATAAGGGTAACTTTAAAACCTAGTGGAAGGAAAAAGGCTAAGGCTAACCCCCAAAGCCCAGTTAGTTTAAAAAGATAAGGTACACTTAAAGCCTAGGAATTTAAAAAACAAGGCTACATTAAAAAACCCAGTGGAAAAACTGACTTTAAAGGGTACACTTAAACCTAGGAATAACAAGGGGCTAAAGGGTTTCACTTAAAACCCAGGGGAAAATAACAAGACTAAGGGGTAAAACTTAAAGCCAAATATTAAAAAAGACTAAGGTACAAATTTAAAACCCCCCCCAGTGAATAACAAGACTAAGGCCACTTTAAAACCCAGTGAGTAAACAAACTAAGGCTACACTTAAAAACCTATGAATAACAAGACTAAAGGGGTACCTTAAAGCCTTTTGAGTTAAACCCGGGGCTAAGGCTACACTTAAAAAACCCCCATGAAAACAAGATAAGGCTACACTTTTAAAACCTAGTGGTAACAAGACTAAGGGAAAAATTAAAGCCCAGTGAATTAAAAAGACAAAGGCTACCCCTTTAAAAACCCAGTAGTAACAAGGGCTAAGGCTACAAATTAAAGCCTTGGGAACAAGACTAAGGGAACTTTAAAACCTAAATGGGGTAAAAAGGGGCTAAAGGCAAAACTTAAACCCATGGTTTAAAAAAGGGTAAGGTCCCCTTTAAACCTAGTGAATAAAAAAGCTAAGGCTACCTTTAAAACCCAGTAACAAGACTAAGGCTACACTTAAAACCTAGTAAAAAGACTAAGGCTACACTTAAAGCCTAGTAAAAACAAGGGGAAAGGGGTACACTTAAAGCCTAGTGGTTTTTCAAAAAACTAAGGCTTCCCTAAAGCCCAGTAAAAAAAAAGACTTTAAAGGGTACCCTTAAAGCTAGTGAATAACAAAACTAAGGTTTCACTTAAAGCCTAGTTAAAAAAAGATAAGGCTACACTTAAAGCCTAGTGAAAACAAAAACCCAAGGCTAAAACTTAAAGCCTAGTGGTAACAAGCTTTAAGGTACACTTAAAGCCCCGTAGGAAAAGACAAGGCAAAACTTTAAACCCCGTAACCAAAAACTAAGGCTACACTTAAAGCCTAAATAAAACAAGACTAAACTAAAAACTTAAACCCCAGTGAATAACAAACCCAAGGCTACCCTTAAACCCCAGTGATAAAAAGGGGCTAAGGGGTACACTTTTAAAACTAGTAAAAGCTAAGGGTACACTTAAAGCCTAGAAACAAAAACTAAGGCTTCACTTTAAAACCCAGTCCAAAGATAAAGGGTACATTAAAAACCTAGTGGGGTAACAAGACTAAGGCTACACTTAAAAACCTAGGAGTAACAAACCCAAGGCCCACACTTAAAGCCTTGTGGGGTTAAAAAGACTAAAGGGTTTCACTTAAAGCCTTTTAAAAAATTTTGAGGGGAAAAAGGCTTTAAAGGGTTTCACTTAAAGCCTAGTGAGTAACAAGAAATAAGGGGTTAAAATTTTTGCCCAGTGAGTAAAACAAGGGCTAAGGGTACCTTAAAAAACCTAGTAAAAAACATGATAAGGGTACACTTAAAACCTATGAATAACAAACCCAAGGGTTCACTTAAAAACTTGTGAGTAACAAGATAAAAGGGTACACTTAAAACCAAGTGGGGGTAAAAAAGACTAAGGCTTAAATTAAAGCCTTTGTGAGTAACCAAAACTAAAGGGAAAACTTAAAACCCAGTGAGTAAAAAGACTAAGGTACACTTAAACCTATGAATAAAAAAACTAAGGGCACTTAAAAACCTAGTTTATTTAACAAGACTAAGGCTAACTTAAACCTAGTGAACAAAAAGACTAAGGACAATTAAAGCCTAGTGAGTAACAAAACAAAAGGGTAAAACTTTAAAACCAGTGTGTAACAAGGGCAAAGGGTACACTTTTAAAAACCCAGTAACAAGACTAAAGGGTACACTTAAAGCCCAGTAACAAGACTAAAGGGTACACTTAAAAAAATAAACAACTAACTAGGGCAAAATAAATTTTGCACGGGAACTTTTTCCCCCACCCAAAAACGAATACTTTAATTTCCAAATTAGTTTTATACTTTTGGTAATATACGCTGAGAGAAACATCCTCTGGCGCATTTTTTTGATTAGCATAAATTTATCAATCACACAAAGGGGATCGGGAAACCCCGGGGGAATGTTTTCAATGTTTTTATAACGATTTCGTGAGGCATGTTTTTGGATAAGATCAATTCAGGAAATTCTCAAAAAGATTTTCCCCACATTAGGTACATTTAAAACAATGGGTTTGAAGGGATATGAAAAAAAACTTAAAACCTGGGGAGGCTTTCGGGGGTTCCCAAAGGGCCCCCGCGTCAGGTTTGAGACCAGGTTTCATGATGGGATTGGGTCCCGAAAACAAAAAAGGTTTTTAACTAAATTTTTGTAAATAAATTAATTTTGCAAAAGGGGCTTTGGGCCGGGGCACAGGGCCGGGGCCCCGGGGGGGTTGACCCCGAAAAACCCTCCAGGTATACTTTTAGGTTTCCGGGGACAGGGGCGGATCTACTATGGGGAAAATAATTAAAAATTAAACTTCAGGGGGGCCCCAAACCCCCGGGGGGCCCCCGAAGCCATTTTGTTCAATTGGGTTTTAAAAATTTTTGGGTTTACTGTATGGGAAAACGTTTTCGAAGGGGCCCCCATAACAGTTCAAGCTTCAGGGCCCAAAAAAGTAGGTCCCCCCACTGCCCCGCTTTTTGTGATAAATTATAAATCACGCAATTTTACTGTTTTTTCTAGAGATGAAGGAAGAGCAATGGAAAGGAAAAAAAAAACATTTGTTTTCGTTGAGAGGAAAAAAAAATAAAATTTTTGACAATTTACATTTTTTTCATTAATTAATTTTTTTAAAGCCTCTTAAAATTGGCCCCCCGCCCCTGCTGACCAAATGGGGCGTGAAGTATTTTAGTAAAGCATTCTCAAATGTCAAAAATTTTTATAAAAAAATTATTTTTTTACACGTTGGACATTGTACTCCCAAATCATGCCTTGTTTTTGTCCAAAAAATATAAAGGTGTAACATCTTGGGTATATGGGTCACATAGCCGCCTCCCGTACCAGTACGGGCCCCCAAAATTTTTTCGAAAACCAAAAAAACTAGAAAAAATAAATAAAACTGATTAAATTTTCTATCAGTGAAAAAAAAATTTTTGCAAAAAAAAAAAAAAAAATTGCATTTGTAACCCCTTTGTGTGTGTGTGTATGTACTCACCTAATTGTGGTTGTAGGGGTCGACTCATAGCTCCTGGCCCTGTGTGTGTGTACTCACCTATATGTGGTTGCAGGGGTCGATTCATAGCTCCTGGCCCCTGTGTGTGTGTGTGTGTGTGTGTGTGAAGCAGCAGAGATCTACATAGTGAAATGGTAAGTTCCACTTACCGCTGCTTCCTGGCTGCTGTCTTGGTCATCGTCGTTGCTACCATCATCCTGGCTGGGGTCCTCATGACCTGGCTGGCCACCACGCTGGTGCCCATGGTGTGTGCTCAGGTGCCTGCGAAGAACAACCCCACACGTACAGATACATTTTTTTGGGGGGGCAAAAGTTTACAATAGATATACGTAAGGAAACATTATAGGTTTAATGCACATAATACTATCTTACAAAGTCGACATTATACTTTGTATTCTGCATGTGTCTTATACTTTGCAATTTCCTTGACGTTTTTCACGACCTGTCGCTCAGTTTTCTCTACTCGTTCAATCGTGACCTGAAAATAGTCCAGGACAAGCCAAAACGTTGTCCCAAGTTTCCTTTCTGTATATTTCGACCTTAAACTGAGGTCCTCCTCAGCAGACCTTATTTTAAAGTCAAAATTATACATGTATTACAATTCTATTCTGTTTCTGTCTCACATAGGTTTGCTTCCTCTCACTGACATAAGTTCATTACACCTCTTAGTGTCTATATAACTATGACCATAGGAACACAAGAAAGAAACAATGTCCCATGCTAAGAGGCCTAACTCACACCACTTCATGTACCCATCAATCCTATATAAGGTTCAGTCAAGTTTCTTCCTCGTTGGAGTAAACCTGGTTGTTTCACTCACGAGTGGAAAAAACATATGAGCATACATGTTGAAAAAATAGACACAAAGGAAGTATTATGCATCTCTTTACTGATTACGTTTTGCCACTCACAGTGGGTTTTTTAAGTCCACAAACAGACAGTACCTAAGCAAAGAGTACTTGAGTATATATATTGAGCAATGTGACGTGAAGGGGGTCACGTTGGATTTTTGAATAGTTGATTCTAGAAGCTGTATTTGAGAAAGGACCTGCCGGCAGCTCCAGGAAGTGAAAAGTTCTACCAAGCTGGAGACTGACAACTCCAACTATTTCTACAAGGTTGAGGACTGACAACCTTCCAATTATTTTTCAAGGTTAATAGATGTAACAGAACTGCTTATGCACTCAAATGACGTAGTGGAAGTTTTTGCAGTAAAGGTTCGAGAAAACCAAAACTGTCATTGTGGTAGTCTACTAGCCTCCGGATGCTCACATCAACAAGCAATTCCAGGAACAGCTGTTTAAAATTGACCACTGGTCTGGAATACAATCTTCCAGCTCATGCCACCCAACATCTTGCTCCTGGGGGTTTCAACTTAATCCGGGCACCTAAAATGGAGGATATAGCAAATAATATTTTTGCAGTAATTACACCAGGAGGCAGGCTCTGATGAAAACTCACACCACACGAGCTTTTAAAATCGCTGCACAAAAATTCAAATTCTAAACCAGCAAATAATAGAGCCTACAAGACTGGAGAAACACTAGACCTCATCTTCACTAACAATGATGATCGGATAAGAAATGTCACACATTCAAAACAAATTACTCAGATCACAACATAATTGTGGTTCAGACATGTCGCGTGGAGCCCCTGACCGACAAAATGAGACTAGTCAGACGGGAGCATTCACCAAATTAACTTCAATAACAAATAAGCATATAGTGGGACAAGTAAACCAAGTCCTAACCGATTTAAGCCTGGGAAGATATACTAAGCAACACAGACCCAAACTTATGCCTAGAACTGATGAACTCGGTTGGCACCTCGATGTATGCAAAAGGGGGACTTATTCCTCTTAGGAAAAAAGGAGGAGTAGATGTAAAATAGAAGAGACAGGCGCTCTTTACAGGCGTCGGTAAAGAATAACAGGCGGCCTAAAAGGGTCTTCATTATATCTGAAATGCGCAGGGGAGACATGGTATGAGAAATAGCAAGCATCGAACTTAAGCTAAAAAGAAATCCTTTAGGAGTCAGGAATCCGGGAAGAACTAAAACGCATAAATGAAATCGAAGAAACCAAAGAATTTCGTCTCATTATGCCAAATCAAAATCGAGAACAACGTCCAGTATTGGGCCCCCTACTTAAACAAGATGGGTTCCTATCACAGATGAAGCAAGGAAATGAGTGAAGTACTCAAGTCCCAATATGACTCAGTTTTTGCAAGCCGCTAACCAGATGAGAGTCGAAGACCAAAATGAATTTTTTTATGAGAGTGCACAAAATTTGAATTCAAACACAAGCCTATCGATGTTATCCTGACGCCAAATGACTTCGAACAGGCGTATAAATGACATGCCCATGCACTCTGGCCCCAGGGCCAGACTCAGGGAACTCGTGTTTCATCAAGATCTGCAAGAAGCCCTTAATCACGAGCCTTTTTCATCCTATGAGAGTGGGTGCAATGGACACGGGGGTCGTCCCTCAGTTACTAAAAACAACAGACATAGCCCCACTCCAAAAGGGGGCAAGTTAAGCAACACGCAAAGAATACAGCACCAATAGCACTAACATCCCATATCATAAAATTCTTTGAAGGGTCCGAAGAAGCAAGATACCACCATCTAGAAACCCCTCTCAGTTACACAACCAGGGCATCATGGGTTTAAAACACAGGTCGATCCTGTCTGTCTCAATACTGGAATCACACGACAAGGTCCTAAATGCACTAGAAGACAAAAAGATGCAGATGTAATATATACAGACTTTGCATAAAGCCATTTGACAAGTGTGTCCATGGAGGTAATAGCGCACAAAATGCGCCGCTTAAAAGGAATACACAGGAAAAAGTCGGATGATGGATTCTATAATTTCCCTCCACTAAACCAGAAACAAGTGAGTAGTCGTCAACAGAGTAAAAGTCCGAGGCAAGCTACGGTTGAATAGCTCTGTTCCAAGGCACAGTACTAGCTTATCTTGTTCTCATCCTATATCCGACATAGACAAGGATGTCAGCCACAAGCACCGTGTCTTCCTTTGCAGATGGACACCCGAATATGCATGACAGTGTTTCAATTGCAGGACACTGGCAAGGCTACAGGCGGCATAAACCAAACTCTTTCCAGTGGGCTGCAGAGAAACAATATGAAGTTCAAACGATGAGAAAGAAAATTTCAATTACTCAGATTATGGTTAAAACATGAGAGAAATTAAATTCTTTCATCAGAGTACAGAAAACTAAATTTCTGGCACAAAATAGAGCAGAAACACCAACGTTCAAAGGGACCTGGGAGTGAATATGTCGGAGGATCTCACCTTCAAGGGTCCATAACATTGTTATCAATCGCATCTGCTAGGAAAATGACAGGATGGTAATGAAGAACCTTCAAAACTAGGGTGGCCAAGCCAATGATGCCATCTTCAGTTCACTTGTTCTATTTGGATGGAATATTGTGCACTCTAAACAGCACTTTCAAGGCAGGTGAAATTGTCCGACTAGAAAATGTACAGAGAACTTTCACGGCGGCATAACGGAGATAAATTAACACCTCAAATTTACTGGGGCGCTTGAGGTTTCTAACCTGATTCCCTGGAACGCAAGGAGGGGAGAGATTACATGATTATATACATCCTGAGAAAATCTAGAGGGAAACTAGTACGAACTTGCACACGATCATCACTCACTACGAAAGCAAAAGAACTTGGCAGACGATGCACCATCCCCCAAATGAAAAGCAGGGGTGTACTAGCACGGTTAAAAGAGACCATACAATAAGTGTCAGGGCACGAGGACTGTTCAACGCTACCAGCACAATAGGGGGATTACCAACAAGGGACACCTGGCAGTCTTCAAGCTGGCAACTGGACAAGCACCTAAAGTCAGTTCATGATCAGACCGGGGCTGTGGCTGTACGTTGGTTTGCGTGCATGCCAGAAGTGCAAAACGCCTGGTTGACTCAGGCGCTGATCCACCGGAGGCCTGGTCACTGGAGGGCCGGCGCAGGGCGTTTGACCCCCGAAACTCTCCCTCCAGGTAAACTCTCCAGGTTTCCTCTTTACACTAGAAATTTCAATTACTCAAGATTGGTAATCATGTGGAAATATTAAATCTTCTCAGAGTACAAAACAAATGTGGCACAAAATAGAGCGAAACACAACGTCAAAGACCTGGGAGTGATTTATGTCGTGAGGGATCTCAACGTCAAGGACCTTAACATGGTACAATCGATTCTGCTAGAAAATGACAGGTGGATAATGAGACCTCTCAAATCTAGGGAGGCCAAAGCCATGATGACATCTTCAGGTCACTTGTTCTATCTAGGCTGGATATTGCTGCACTCTAACAGCACCTTTCAAGGCAAGGTGAAAATTGCCGACCTAGAAAATGTACAGAGAACTTTCACGGGCGCGCATTAACGGAGATAAAAACACCTCAATATTGGAGCGCTGGGTTCACATAATCCTGATTTCCCTGGAACGATGGAGGGAGACGATACATGATTAATACACCTGGGGAAAAATCCTAGAGGGAACTAGTAACGTACTTGCTATCGAGAATCCATCATACGGAAAGCAAAAGCCTGGCAGACGATGCCACCTCCCCCAATGAAAAGCAGGGGTGTCACTAGCACGTTAAGAGACCATTACAATAGTGTCAGGGGCCGAGAACTGTTCAACTGCCTCCAGAACACATCATAAGGGGGTTACCAACAGACCCCTGGCAGTCTTCAAGCTGGCACTGGACAAGCACCTAAAGTCAGTTCCTGATCAGCCGGGCTGTGGCTCGTACGTTGGTTTGCGTGCAGCCAGCAGCAACAGCCTGGTTGATCAGGCTTGATCCATCAGGAGGCCTGGTCCAGGAACGGGCAGCGGGGCTTTGACCCCCGGAACTCTCTAGGTAAACTCCAAGTAAAACTTCTGAGTCTTTATATATGATATTGCCAGTTATTATACATACGAAATCAGACATGACATGTACTTACTGAAGCATTTCATTATTATGGTGATCATTGTGTCCCTCGTGAGGATGATTCAGATGATGAACGTGATGCTCATGTTGCAAGATTGCAGTCTCTTCCATAATCTGCAAAGCACCAATTATGGACATGAATCATGTACTTCCTAATTTGTTAGTTAGTGGAGAAAGACACAAAATTAAATCATTGGGTCATGTTTATTGGATGTGTTTTTGACCCAGGAGCTTGGTCACTAAATTATTATAGAAGGTTGGTTGGTTATGTGGCTTAAAACTTATCGAACTGAACTGAGTATTAAGGATGCACGTAACATTTACAACCACTAGATTAAGAATACTTTAACCCTTCTTAAAATATTGATTAAGTATGGTTTTGGTAAAATAAAACATGTGCCTTGGTTGAAACTGAGTATGAAATATCGGTACCTGGAGACCTGGAGTTTACTGGGAAGAGGTTTCGGGGGTCAACGCCCCCGCGGCTGTCGGTGGTGGATCGCGCCCTGATCAACCAGGCTGTTGCTGCTGTCTGCACGCCCAAACCAACGTACGAGCCACAAGACGGCTGATCAGTGATTCGACTTTAGGTGCTTGTCCAAGTGCCAGCTTGAAATGAGGTGGAAGCCTGGGGTCATGTTGTATTCAACTATGTAGTGCTGGGAGGCAGTTTGAACAGTCTCGGGCCACCTGACACTTATTGTATGGTCTCTTATACGTGCTAGTGTCACCCCTGCTTTTCACTTGGGGGGTTTGGTGCATCCGGTCTGCCAAGTCTTTTGCTTTCGTAGTGAGTTGATTTTCCGTGTGCAGTTCGGTAGTACTAGTCCCTCTTTGGATTTTCCAGGTGTATATAATCGTAGTATCTCTCCCTCCTGGCGTTCCAGGGATTACAGGTTTTTTAGAAACTCACAGCGGCTCCCAGTAATTGAGGTGTTTTATCCTACGTTATGCGCGCGTGAAAGTTCTCTGTACCATTTTCTAGGTCGGCTATTTCCCTGCCTTGATAAGGAGGGATGCTGAAAGGTGCAGCTATATTCCGACTAGATAGAACAAGTGACCTGAAGAGTGTCCATCCTGGGCTTGGCCTCCTAGTTTTGATGGTTCTCATTATCCATCTGTCCATTTTTCTAGCTCGATGCGATTGATACAATGTTTATGGTCCTTGAGGTGAGATCCTCCGACATAATCAATCCAGGTCTTTGACGTTGGTGTTTCGCTCTATTTGTGGCCAGAATTTGTTTTGTACTCTGATGAAGATTTTAATTTCACTCAGGTTTACCATATTGAAGTAATTGATATTTCTCATCGTGAACTTCTATATTGTTTTCTGCCAGCCCACTGAAGATTTAGGTTGATGTCCGCCTGGTGCCTTGCGGTGTCTGCACATGGGAAGTCACTGTCATGCAGATTCGAGGTGTCATCTGTCAAAGGCAAAGGGACACGGTGCTGTGGCTGACATCTTGTCTATGTACGGATATGAGGTGAGGAAAAGATGGGAGGCTAGTACTGTGCCTTGTGGAACAGAGCTTTCTACAGTAGCTGCCTCGGGACTTTACTCTGTGACTACTCCTGTGTTTGTTAGTGAGGAAATTATAGATCCATCGCCGACTTTTCCTGTTTTTCCTTTAGCGCGCATTTTGTGCGTATTACGCCATTGGTCACACTTGTCGAAGGCTTTTGCCAAAGTCTGTATATATTACATTGCATTCTTTTTGTCTTCTCGTGCATTTTATAGGACCTTGTGTAGTGTCCAATAGTTGAGAAGACAGAGAGACGACTGTTCTATACCTTGTTGCCCTGGGTTGTGTCAACTGATGGGTTTCTAGATGGGTGGTGATCTTGCTTCGTATGGACCTTTCAAAGATTTTTAGGTTTGGGACTGTTAGTGTATTGGTCTGTTGTTCTCTTACTGTTGCTTTACTGCCCCCTTTGAGGGTGGGGCTAAGGTTGTTGTTTTTAGTAACTGTGGGCGACCCCGTGTCCATGCTCCTCTCCATAGGAGGAAAAAGCTCGTGATAGGGGCTTCTTGAGTTCTTGATGGGAACACAGAGTTCATCGAGTCATGGCCCTGGGGCAGATGTGCATGGGATGTCATTTATCGCTGTTCGAAGTATTTGGCGTCAGTGATAACATCGGATAGGCTTGTGTTAAATCAAATTTTGTGGCTCTCTCATAAAAAATTTAATTGTGGTCTTCACCCTCCGACATAATCATCCAGGTCTTTGAGTTGTGTTTGCTCTATTTTGCCGAATTTGTTTTGTACTTGATGAAGTTTTTAATTTCCTCATTTTTACCATATTGAGTAATTGAATTTTCATCTTTGAACTCATTTTGTTTTCTGCAGCCCACTGAAGATTTGGTTGATGTCGCCGGGGCCCTTTTGCGTGTCTGAATGGAAGCACTGTCATGCAGTTCGGGTGTCACTGCAAAGGAAGACACGGTGCGTGGCTGACATCCCCTTTTCTATGTCGGAATGAGGTGAGGGAAAAGATGGGAGCTAGTATGAGTGTGAGTTTTCATCGGTCCCTCTGGTGTTATTACTGAACAATATTATTTGCTATATTCCCCCTTTTTAGGTCCCTTAAGTTGAAATCCCCCAGGAGCAAGTGTTAGGTGCAGGAGCTGGAAGATTTTCAGACAGTGGTAATTTTTAACAGCTTTTCCCGGGGAATTGCGGGATTTTGCATCCGGGGGGTTTAGACTCCCACAAGATGGGTTTTTGGTTGACCTTTACTGCTAAAACTTCCATACGTTTTTTGAGGCATTAAGCAGTTTTTGGCAAAAAGGACTCGCAATGACGGGAAACCCCCCCCCCCTTTTCCCTTTTCCCCTTGTCACATTGATAGGTTGTAACTGGGATCCTACTTCTTGCCCAAGTGACCTTTATGGGGTCTCGTGAAAGCCGCAAAAATTGCCTTTCCCTCTGCAAGCGTCCAGGGATAAAGGTATTTTGTTGTTTGTTGTGGTTTAGCCCCTGATATTTCAAAAAAAGAATGTTATGGACGGGGGTTTTTTTTGGACTGGGGGGGGGTTTTTTTTTTCGGCCATTGTTCTTACTTTTGGGTTTGGGGTGGGGGCCATCGACGTGTTCCCACCCCGGAAGACTGGATTTGGGTACGATTTCTGCCTTTCCCCGCCAGTTTTTTTTCCTTCCTGGCATAAAAAACCTCTCCCCTTGATGGCTGGGGCTACCAGGTTTTTCCCCAGGGCCCCTGGTGTTTTGTATCTTTTTGTCCCCTTTAGTGGTATGCCGGCAATTTAAGTTATGCACGTTTTCCCCCCGTACTAAAGGGGTACCTTTTCGGGTGAAAAAGTTACGGGGAAGGGATTTTGCATTTTCCTGTTGCATATGGGCATGGCTTTTTCTAGGGGGGTCATTTTTGCATGTCCCTCTTTTTTTCCAGTTTTTTCCCATCCCACAGATACCAAGTGCTAGTATGTGCACAGGCGGTTTTTCCGTTTCCCCTTGGGTTTCTTTGACTGTTTTCCCCGTTGGTGCATTTTTCCCCTGTTTTAATTCTCCTCCTAGACCAACAAGGAGTCCCACCATTGTTTTTGGTAATTTTCCCCCTATTGCTATTGGGAGTCTCTTGTTTGCTATTTCTGCGGTATTTCTAGTTTGCAATATTGGTTTTATCTTTTCTTTATACACTTTTTTCCCTACTTGGTTGTCCCCTATGAGGTCATTTATTGTATTCCTTTCCTGCGTATAATTCCCGACTATGGAAAAATTCCCCGTTCCCCATTTCGTCTCCCAGGACAGTATCCCCCAAGTTTCACCCTTTTCGTCCCCCGGGACAGAAACCTCCGCTTCCCCATTACTGCTCCCAAACAGCCCTATCACCCCACATTTACTGCTACCGGGGACTCCCCTCCAGCCTTACGTTTGTGACTCATGGCCAGTATAAAGGGCAGACCATTCAGCCCAGATTTTTTTATGTTCCCCATCTGTTGTAGAAAGTTTCCCGGTTTTCTATGAAAGCAGTTTGATTTTGTCCTCTTTTAAACCTTGTGATAATTTAAAATTTAAAGCCATGGCAACAGTTGGATATCCTTATGGATGCACTTTTAAACCTCACACAAAAAGCCTTTGTTTATAAATTTGGTTGGGGTGATAGTTTTTTCTCTGAAAACATGAAACAGGCCCGTCTTTTATCTAAAGAAACATGTTAATGACCCTCGCTTTTTCCAAAGTTCAAAACCCAGTTAACCAGACCAACCCCCCCCCCTTTTGGTCAATGGGGGTTTTTACCTGGTCATGTGAGAGTTCGCTGTGTCCACGTGGGTGATGTTTAAAACTTCCTGGCCGGGTCTTAACTTCCCCCCAAGCGCCGAATTTCTAAATACGAACCCCAAATCCTTAACCTGGAAAGCCAAAAAAAGATTGTTTTTTTTTTTTTATTCGCGGTATTCTCCCGGCCCCGGGTTTTTTCCCCAAGTAGGGGTCCCCCGGCCCTTGGCTCCCTATCGGGGATGTCTCGGACTCAAGCTCCAGGGGGAGGGGGTACAAGTACCTCCTCATCGTACTTTTTGTAGTCACTAACTCCCTCAAACTAGCCGGTACTTGAATAAGACATGGGAAACAGTTGGTATCTTTATTGTTAAAAACTCTTCGCCCTCCCCACAGGCTTCTTCAGCTATAGAGTTGACAATGAGACCCACCTTTAAAACATTTCCCATTAACATAATGATACCAGTCGGAGCTCTGCATGATTTTTTTTAAATTCCTTTTGGTGGTTAGTTTATTAGATTTAAAACTATCAATAATAAGGTTTTTTAAAGGGTTATGCTACTTTTTTCACCCCGTCAACGATATTTAATCCTTAAAAAAAGATGCCTCTTCCCTAAAGGCAAGACATTTATTGGGCCAGCCCCCTTGGAAAAAAATCCCAACTGTTGTTTTACAAGCCCCACGAGAAAAAAAAGTATCCCCCCCCTGTCAAGGCCCCCATGCTGCAAAATTTCCCCTTGGTGTCTTTAATTTTCTTTTTTCTTGGGGGACGTTGGGGAAGGGGCACTCGCCTCACCCCAGGGAAAATTTGCATTTTGAGCACCTAAACGCGTCAACACGTAGGAGGGCCAAATTTTTAACGCAGTGGTACCTAAGACGGTCACAGGTAGGGTTTTAAACCCTAGGGATCATACAGCCCTGTGGGGGGGGGGATGGAAAACATTCGACTTAATTCAGGAAACTGGAAACACGATCCAATTCCAAAGATCAAAAAAAAACCCCCCACCAGGTCAAGGAGCCTCCCTTAGGGGGGTCAGCAGGAAAACATCAAAGGTTTGATTCTAGAAGTCAGTATAAAGTCAAACGAAGTTTAGCAACAACCGTTGCACCCACAGGATGGGGAAGGTTGACTACCCCCCACAGGACTGCTGTGGGTTTTTACTACTTCCCACAGGGTGGGTGAAAATTTACTACCCCCACAGGACTTTGTGGTTTTACTACTTCCCCGGGTGGGTGAAGGTTACTACCCCCAAGGACTGCTGTGGGGTCACACTTCCCAAGATGAGTGAAGGTTGATACCACCCCCAGGATGCTGTGGGTCACACTTCCCACGGATGAGGAAGGTTGACTCCACCCACGGATGCTGTGGTGTCACTACTTCCCACGGATGATGAAGGGGGGGTTAACACCCAGGGGGCTGTGGGTGTACTATTCCCCACAGGAGAGTGAAGGGGTTGACTACCCCCACGGATGCTGTGGTTAACTATTCCCACAGGATGAGTGAAGGGTTTACTACCCCCCCAGGACTGCTGTGGTTTGACTACTTCCCCAAAGGTGGGTGAAGGTTGATACCCCCCAAGGACTGCTGTGGTGTAACTCTTCCCACAGGATGAGTAAGGTTGACTACCACCCACAGGGCTGTGTGGTGTAATACCCCCAGGATGAGTGAAGGTTATACCACCCACAGGGCTGCTGTGGTGAACTTTCCCCCCAGGATGATGAAGGTTGCTACCACCCACAGGACTGTTGTGCACATTCCCCCAGGATGGTGAAGGTTGACTACCAACCCCCGGATGCTGTGGGTTTTAACTTCCACAGGTGAGTGAAGGTTGACTACCACCCCCAGGACCTGTGTGTAACTACTTCCCAGGAAAGAGTGAAGGTTGACTACCACCCCCAGGATGCTGTGGGTAACTACTTTCCCCCAGGATGAGGAAGTTTGACTACCACCCCAGGGCTGTGTGGTGTCACTACTTCCCCCAGGATGGGGTGAAGGTTGACTACCACCACAGGACTGCTGTGGTGTATATTCCAAAAGGGGAGTGAAGGTTGACTTAAACCCACAGGACTGCTGGGTGCACTATTCCTACAGGATGATGGAAAGGTTTTCTACCCCCCACGGATGCTGTGGTGTCCTTTCCCACAGGGAGTGAAGGGTTTACTACCACCCACAGGACGCTGTGGTGTAAATACTTCCCACAGGGTGAGTGAAGGTTGATACCACCCACAGGACGGTGGTGTCACTATTCCCACAGGATGGTGAGGTTGACTACCCCCCCAAAGGAAATGTGTGGTGTCATACTTCCCACAGGTAGTGAAAGGGTTTACTACCCCACACGGAATGCTGGTGTCACTCTTCCCCCAGGATGGGGGAAGGTTGATACCCCCCAAAGACTGCTGTGGGGTCACTACTTCCCACAGGTGATGAAGGTTGACTACCCCCCACAGGTGCTGTGGTGTCACTCTTCCACAGGAGATGAAAAGGGTTGACTACCACCCCCGGACTGGGGTTTTACTACTCGACTTGGGTCATACGCCCCCCAAACTCTAAAATTTTCTCTCACAACAAATAAAACATCAAAGATCCCCAAAAGAAAAAAGTCACTTTTATTTTGTGGGTTTTCCCAGGTAATTAACACTATATATAATAACTATACGTATGTATACATCTACATTAACGTCAGAAATTAAAGAAGTTACAAGACAGGTATCACCTCACGGGTAATATTCCATACATCAATGTACTTGCTTCGGCAGTACATATACTAAAATTGGAACGATACAGAGATTAGCATGGCCCCTGCGCAAGGATGACACGCAAAATCGTGAAGCGTTTCACCGTAAACATTAGTTCATGGTGTTACTTGTGTTTATAATATATAAACATGTGTGATTACTTAGTGAAGTGATTTTGTATTGTGAATGTGACTGGTTGACAGCGCTCGTACCGGAGAACGATGGTTCGAGGCTATGTTGGTAAGAATTTTTTTTCTTTTTCTTTATTTTTTTAATATGATAGACACGTTAAGCTTAACTTTAAGATGTAGGAAAATAAAAAAAAATAGCAAAGAACATGACAAATAAATTAAAAATTGAAGTCTATAATTTTCACCTCTAGTATGCCCTGAGTCCTGCCTAAGTGCAGTGTGGTCAGGCTTATGGACAATTTTCAATAAATTTTTATTTAGACACTACTTTTTATTTATTTATTTATTTATAATTTGAGCACACTTACAGAGGTACAAAAAAAATACAGATAAGAGCAGCATGCCAAAGCCACTTATACTATGCATAGCATTACGGGCTGGCTTAAAATTAACTTAAGATTAACTAAGCAATGATGAAATCAGTGAAAAACATTAATGTAAACTGATTACTATAAAGCACAAGTGAGTATTACAAAGACAGGTCATATGGTTGCATGCATTGTTGTAAATTCAGTAGAATGGAGTATTCTGTTAGGTAGTGTATTTAAAAAATAATAAAGTTAGATTGGGTTATAGGTTTAACATTTATGTGATATAATTGTGAGAAACATTTAAGATATACAATTTATAAGGTTCAGTTATTCAGTATTTATTTGGTTTTGGGTGATACATAATGATACATAATTTGGTTTTATGTAGAAAATGAAGTGTACTTTAACATAGGCCAAGTTACAGTAATTCTGTTAACTCTGTTGCCTCTGTCCATCTTATGGTAAAAACTAAAAATCTATTATCCTATTGTTAAAATATTATTTTGTAAAAAGTATTGGTTTCATTGGCTGTCTATATCTTTCTATATTAAAAGAAAAATAAAAAAATTTGAAGTCTTCCCTTCCCGAGACTCGAACCCAGACATGGTGGTGATAACAGACCTGTCCACCCAGATGCGCGCACACATTCCTCCACCAATAATTATTTTAACCACCTATCTGCACACATCTATATCACGTTACTAACACAATATGGTCAATGGAATGTTTACGGTGAAAAATGTGGAACGCTTCACGATTTTGCGTGTCATCCTTGCGCAGGGGCCATGCTAATCTTCTCTGTATCGTTCCAATTTTAGTATATGTACTGCCGAAGCAAGTACACTGATGTGTGGAATATTACCCGTGAGGTGATACCTGTCTTGTTAGGTTTTGGAGAGACAATATGTCTATATCTTTTAAAGTGGTTTTGAATAAGTTTATAAATAACAATAAGTTTATTCAGGTATACACAAATACAGTTACATAGATTATCATACATAGCAATATATGTGTAGAGATCCTGGGATAACCCAAAAAAGTTAGGCAGATGTTATGGGTTTATTAAAAGTACATTATATGGAAAATTTTCTAGGGTGCTTACCTGTATGTACCTCAACATTATATACATACCAGTAATCTCATTGGGAGACAATCATATTGTTTACCGTAGTCACCCCGTGTAGACATGTGAGAAAACTGAACCACCCCTGGTGGCGGCAAGTGGTCCCCTCGACCTCACAATCTTATCCATATCTATCCGAGACCAGTATGGATTGGATAGCACCCACAAGTACGGTGCTACTAATTAATTGTGGACTGTATAGATTATATTAGTTTAGCTGAATGAAGGGGGGGGGTAGGATACACCTGGATACATCCATCAAGGAAAACATTTGTACATAATCCCAACACTTACCAGATGTTCTCTGGTGGTCATTTGATGTAGCTGGATCACTCATAACCTATCTAATTACAACATAACACAACTGGCCAGCATAAGTTTGTTATAACTAGAAGGGTTACTTAACTGTGGGTGATTGATACTCCTTATTTCTTCCATTCACCATCTCATTTTCGATGTCCTGCTACACCGACACGGTTCTCATTCCGGCAGGACGAGGTATCCGTCGGTTTGTCCCGGTTTAGAAATCATGGATCAATGAGCTTCACTTTCCTCGCCTCGGGAACAACAAGGTCTAACGTGTTCACTCGGAGCAAGGCGACTTATTTCACATCCCGCATTCTCTTAACTCAATGTTATTATCACTGATTACATTAACATTCACAAGACGATTTAACGTCTCATAATT